TCTCTCTCTCTCTCTCTCTCTCTCTCTCTTGTGTTAGCTCTTAGTCTCATTGATTTGGCTACCTTAGGGCTGCGTTCCCCGCGCCCACGCGGTAGCCAATTCAAAAAACTACTGCAGCCTCCTCGGCCTCCTACGCGCAGCTACCGGTCCTCCGCGGTCGTGGACCAAAACCCGTGCAGTCCCACGGGCAGCTACCCGTCCTGCAGTTTCAAATAAGATGCCACCACCCCCAAAACTGCCATGCCTTGTTTTTCCAGCCTTCCAACGACGAGCGAGGACGAAAAATGTTCTCAGGGGCATAAAACGCACCCCTGACGAGCTGCGAATACCTTGACACAGACGCCGAAGTCTACTGAATCTTCTTCGTGCGCGGTCGCGCACCTCCTGGCGTGTGCATGTGGGGCCTCTTCCCGAAGTGGACGATCGCGTTCTAAGCTTACGCTTGCGCGGGAAGTGTACACGTGTACACTCGACGTGAGAGGAGGCCAAGGAAGGAGTGGAGGGAGGACTGAGAGAGGGAGGAGTGTGTAAGGCATCGTCTCTGTCGTGGTTGACGTATACACGAAGAGATTCGATTCTGCGGCAGGGCAGCGCAGGAGGGAGGCGAAGGAGAGAAGGGTGAGCGCGAACTGATCGGTTCATTGGCCATGATAGGCCGTTACGCTGTGCTTCGCCGATTAAGAGCGGAGTTTCAGAAGAGTGACGTACGGCCATGGATGCGCGGGAGCAGCGGGAAAGACTCTGGTCCGGCATCGGCGCGTTGTAGATCGTTATCGACTGATTGGCACGCTGTGCTGCGCTTTCCGGGTTGCAAGGCGGCTATCGCTGGCAAGACCGAGGGCGCGGATCCCGGGACGAAACCCGTTGGTCCTGTTGGTTCAGGAACCTGGTCGGGATTGGGATCGCGGGAACAACAAAGAATATGGAGAAGTGGTCCGAGTGCCGATGGACAATGGGACGATCGGGATTGGGATCGTGGGACGCGTATCCGGGCGGCTGCGAATGCTGGGGGGAATGGGAGGAGGGAAGGAGCTTGGTGGCCAACAGCGCGGTCACGGGACTTTGGATCAAGGGGGGAGAAGGAGGGGGAGAAGGACGGGAATAGAAGCCGCCGCCGCCGCCAACGACCCGTCAGCGACAGCAGGAGAGAGAGCCAAGCAGTCAGGTCCGCATCCGAGGTGGGGAAGGGAACAGGGTGCAGGTGGTGTTGGGAAAGCGACCGCGAAGTGGGAAAGGGGGAGAGAAGAGAGGGAAGAGCTGTTGGGAAATGGCGGGAGGTAATGCGCCATCGCAGTAGCTCCGCAGGGAGGATAGATCCTCCAATTCCTAGGCATCGGGATCCGGTTATGCCGCTGGGAGATGGAGGAAGAAGATGGATCTTCGCCAAATGTTGGAGTTCTCACGGCTATGGCTATGGCTATGGCTGTCGCTATGGCGGCGGCGGCAGGTGGAGGGGGTTAACGAGTGGTGGCGCGGCGCTTGGGCGCAGTGAGGGGGGCTTGGGCGGCGCGAGTGGCGGCGTGGGGGATGTGGCTGCTGCGGAAAGGAGGTCTTGGATAATGCCGAAGACGGGGGAACCACACAAAGGGGTTGCGGAGACGAACGCGGAGGAGGAGGAAGTGGGGGAGGAGGCCGAGGGGGAGAAGGGGGAGGGAGAGGACTGGCTGGAGGAGGAGGAAGTGTATGGTAAAATGAACACTTTCGAGGCAGTACTTGATACTAAGCGTGTGGAGAATGATTGCCAATCAGCGCAGCATATGAGAACTGCACAAGAGCGCGTCGGTTTATTTGGGTATGCCCTGTTGACAGAGCCGAAGGGTTTTAGAACGATGACGTCAGAAGCCATAGAGAGGTACGTCCGGTCCTGCTCCGCGGCGGAGAAAGCGCGCGCTCGCGCAGTCACTCGAGGAAAAACAACCGCTGAACTGAAAATTGATGTACTTGTTTGAAATTTGACAAAACTGAAGCTTTTCCCCCAGTATGGCGAATCCTCTTTTCGTTGGCCGTTTTCAAATCATAATTCACGTTATTGCAGTTGAGAAAAAAATTGAAGTTTCATCTATCCACACGCTCATGCCGTCCCGGATCTGCACGCATAATTTTTCGAAAAAGCGGGAAATAGCGTTTGTTTGCAATGATGTTTGAAAATCCATCCTTGTGGGAAAGGGAAGTAAGGCCTTGCCACCTCTCCCGCCTCTTCCCCCCCCCCCCCCCCCCCCCCCCCCCCCCCCCGGCCTCGCCGCCAAAACGCTTCTCTGGAAACAAAAGAAGGGGCTAAGTATTACAACCGCCTTCTCCTCCTCCCCCCTTCACCCTTCCGGCACATGAAATGAAAGCTTCCTGTGTCTTGCGGGCGAATTACCGGTAGCTGAATGATGTAAAACAAAGAAAAAAATCTCCCAGCTGTAAATTTTTTCATATATAGTGATTATATAGTCAAATGACTGATTGCGCATTATTTATTCTACTTCCTTTCTCCTTAACGGTAAAATAAAATTTACTCCTTCGAAAAGTTGACCCGCCACGTACTGAATCATCGCTTATCTGTTGAACGTCGATTAAGACAATCAATCAATCAATCAATCAATCAATCAATCAATTGACCATCAATCGTATCCCTTCTCATTCTCTGCCTTCTCTCTCCCTCCCTCCCTCCCTCCCTCTCTCTTTTCCACCTCCGTCGCTTTACATGCGCTTCCTCCTGTGGAACATGAGGTTTTAACGTTCGCAAAACCCCCCACTTTGCAGGATTGACATGGGGAGAATCAGGATGGAGGCCGGCTGAAATTGATGTTATCAGCGCTGGTGTTTTTTCCTCGAAGGTGAAGAAAATTTATGTTCGGCAGGAGGAAGTTCGATCCCATGGTACCTTTCTGGACGCAATAAAAAAATTGTAGTTTTTTTTGGCTTATAGTAATTGATCACGCTAGAAACTGTATGTGTGTAGGGTGGACGAAAAGAGTAGGTCACAAGGAATTTCAGCAAGCCAGATTGAGGAGAGATGTTGGGACGCGTCTGTTTTACATAGCGGGTTCTTCTCCCCCCCCCCCCCTTTGACCGTTCAGCCATTCCCTGAGTCAGAAATCGACTGTTTTGCAAGCACTGCGTGTTTTTTTTTCCTTAGGGAGATTGGTCCGGAGCATAGGCCAACTTCGGGCCTGGGAGAGGTGCAACGTTCGCACCGCAAGTTCACAGGAAGCAGAGTATTGTTCTTACTGGGGTTTAGGTGGTAAGGTCATTTCGGTTCGTGCCAGGGCCGGTAGCGAAAGTGGCCGGCCACCAACGGGCCTAGCCCAGTAGGTACGCCCATGAACTGTTGAAGTACAGACGCGAGTTCGAATCCAGATGCAACGAGTTGAACATAATAAAATCGTTCTGAATAATCTGGGGCCGGTCAGTTCAGTGATGATATCTAAAGGCGGTCACCCTTGCCTCGAAGATTGGCTTCATCTATGGTGGGAGTGCCTGATCGCCAGAGGCTTCTGGGAATTTCTTAATACTGTAAATTATGGTTTAAAGCTTACGGTCACCAGAATTTCTGGACTAAAAAAAAAAATAAAAATAAAATAAAATAAAATAAAATAAAATAAAATAAAATAAAATAAAATAAAAATTTCTGGACTCAAGACTTAGTCGTTACTGGTAGTGAATCCCTCTGTCAGCAAGCAGCAGCAAGGCCAGGTAGCGCAGTTCTTCAGGTTGAGAGCGTTCTGGCACCTGTGGCTTGCCAGAGGAGATGGAACTCTCTCCCCACATTGATTGCACAATTTAAGCCGGCCCTGCGCTTGGACATCATGGCAGAACGGAGTAAGATCAGGTGTAATTCAACTTCAGTGGAAACAGCTACATTAGCCTTTCAGAAGAAATGGTCGGCCCCCTTTCATTGGGCGGACTTCTCTGTAAAGGGACACACGTTTTTGCTCAGACTTGCTCTGGGACCATCCCAACATCAGACCTTGCTGAGTAGATCTCTATCAGGCAGCTTAGACTGAGAGGGTCTGCATTAATTCCCAGGGAAATCTCTTTCTCTCTCTCTCTCCCCTCCAGATGACTGAATGTATAATTTGCGGTAGAGAAGCTACTTCTTCCCTTCGCTGCTTTATTCTTTGTGCTATTTCTCTTGATTTATTTCTGTTCTTGCTACTTTGAACTGGTGGAAGCGAAGCCTAGTAATGCTCCCGGTAATAAGTTACCCCGGGTAGACCGTGAGCACCCCGACCTCGTCCATTTATAAGGGACGCTGGGCCTCGTTCCTAACACCTGCAGCTGCCCACGCATAGAACGGAGCAACTGTTTTTGTAAAAGAAAAGAAAGAAGTGAAGAAGAGGGGGAGAATAAAAAAAAGAAAGTGGCAGGCCACTGACGAGCCTAGCTCAGTTGGTACACTCAATAAGCTGTTGAAATACAGACCCGAGTTCGAATCTGGATGCAATCAGGTGAACAGATAATATAATTCTAAATTACCTGGGCCCAGTCAGCTGGAAGATGATATCTCAAGAGTTTCCCGGCATGCGGCTGGCCCCTGAAAACCTTAGCTCGTCGCCCTTTTTTGAAACAAAGAGAAATGAAAGGGAAAAAAACAAAGAAAGCAAGCGGCAGACCATTTTGAAAGGGCACTGCTGCAGACTTGCGAGCTTTGGAAGGTGCTTCATCACCTTAGGCTCTTGTAAACTGGTGGTTAAGCGGATTTGGGAGTGTTGTAAATCCATTATGCTATACTGGCATTTTGGACTTTTTTGTGAATCAATTATTCTAATCCGTCATGAAACGGTTTCACCCAGTTGACCCGACATTTGCAGACACTGAGATTCGATCCCTAGACCTATGCCTAAACCCTGTACATTGACCCTGTGTGCTGAGTGAGATCCAACCCCTAGACCTATGCCTGTGCCCTGTACATCTACCGGGTGACTGTGTGAAATTCAAACCTGCGACCTGTCCTGTGTCATAGGTTAGGCCGTAGGTCGGGTAAGTTGGACTTGATCCCTAGGTCTGTAGGTTAGTAGCAGAGTCTGTTACCGGTAGTCCTAGGAGGGTCTGTTCTAGAAGTCTCTATCTGAGTCTACTGCGAGCCTAGAGTCAGTCCGTAGGTCTGTAGGCTCTAGAAGACTGTACGTCCCTGTAGGCCGGCCCAGTCAGCAAGTATCAGGGAAGGGCGGGAAGGCTCTGGCCATGCGGTATGCAGAAGGGTCCGGAACACCCGTTTTGGCCCAGAAAGCCCACGCATTTTGGGTCTACCAGGTCTACCAGCTTGGAAGATTCCAGATCCGGGCCCCATGCGGTAAGGGGCCAGGCCCATGCGTTTTGGCCCAGGCACACGCATTTTGAGGCAGGGCCCGACCACCTCCGAAGAAGTATAGATAAAGTGGCAGCGTCCAGCCATTCATTCATTCGCTTGTGAGCCATGCAGAAGTGCTGCCTAGGTGACTTGTGCGTGGAGGTCTGCAGGTTCCCGGAACGACCGTTGAAGTTGACTTTTCTCGAAAGACCTCGAAACTAAGCCGGCGGGAGTGAATGGATTCACACTTCAAGCCTACCAGTCCCTGTTACAGAGTCCCCAATTATTGGGGGCCGCAGGCCCTACTGGTAGTTAAATCTTAGGGTCTGTAGGTCTAGCTGTCGTAGGTCTGTAGGGAACAGTACCTGTAGGATCATGCCAGTCCCCAAAGGTCCAATTTTTGCAGCAGCCTCACAAGAAAGATGAGAACCTTCCCAAAATAGCAACTTGGCAGAGCAAAGGCAAAAGAAGGCCGGTACCAATCAAAGCAGGCAGGCCCAGCCCGCGAAAACAGTATATTTTGGGCTACAGTACCAGACGGGACGCAGTTGTTCATTTCGCAAATTTGTGGAGCGTTGTTGGAGTTGTGCGAACTAGGGACCTGGACAAAGAAGTGCGCTGGAGGGAGAAGATGCCCAGTGCCCTGGCTGAAGGAGACAGCCATAGCCAGGAGGGGGAGAAGTAGACTTTGCGGCCATCGCCGCCTGATGTTGAGAGAGACACGCTGCAGTAGCATTCAAGGTAGATCTAGGACGTAGACGGAGGAGAGAACAGAAAGGGAGAGCAACGAGGGTGAACAGTGCAGAGAAGGAAGGAGAAGAGAGAAGAGAGAGAGGAGAGGAGACAGAGAGAAACTGAGAGAAAAGCAATGGATCGGACAGGGGAAAGTCAGGATCCAAGTTGGGGTTTGTTTCAGCAGTTCCTACTGCCGAATTCTGGATTTTTTGTTGTTGTATATTTTATTGTATCTGAGTGGAACTTCGAATTTGCACTGTTCATGGCCATATCTCAAGCTCATGTGAGCTTTATTTAATTGCTCTCAATTGCATCTTGCTTTGCAAGTGAAATAGAGTCAGGATCTTTGCAATTATCGAGTTCACAAGAAATTTCCTTCAGATTCAATTTATTTATTTTTTTATCCAAGATGACTGAAATCAAACTGCACTCCAAACTTGCTCACAACATGCATACACGCAACTGATGGCAAACCAAACTCTTTCAACTCAGAATCACCATCGAACTTCCACTTAACCTCTGTTTAAGTCAACTTTACAACTCGCGGCTATGGCCGCTGAACAGTGTCTCCACAATCAACCTCTCTCCCTCTCATGAACGCATGTACGAGGATGCGCCCTGAAGGTCCACGCTACACAAACACACACACTTTGTACACTTTGTCTCTCACAACAGTTGGGCAGCTATGGCCACCATCGTCTTCCTCCTCCTAGCTATGGTCGTCGTCGTCTTCCTCCTGGCCAAGTATGGTCGCCGTCTTCCTCCTGGCCAGTTATGGTCGTCGTCTTCCTCAATGCCCACTTCAGCTCTGGGCATCTGCATACCTCCACGCACAAGTC